TATCATATCTGCCGCGATTTCCTATAGACATTGAACCGAAAAGTTTTTTTTCAACACGGTAAATAAAATACCAATGTTCAGAATTTCAGAACAAAAATACATTATTATAAATCCTATTATTAACAATCCTTACATTCATGGAATTCTTTGCCTAAAAGGCGCTTATCGTAATAAACTTTATCTTTTATCTATGACAATACCTAAACCACAATCATGGAAACGACTTGGTACTCATATAAAAAATTAAAAAAGTTTTAAATAATTTAAAAATTTTTCGCTTTATTTATCTACAATAATCAAATTTAACTTAATCTAGTTTTAAGAACTTCGTATACCGATAATATACTCACTAGAAATTGGTTGACTTATATCCGAATGTAAGGAAAATCACGATATATACTAATTTCCACCCTTGAAAGCATTTCGCGTAATTCCTTCAGTTGTTGCGTTATTTATCCGTTAATCGGCAACACTGCAAGCACAAAACGTGATCAAACTCGGGTGCACGATGAACGTCGCGCGACTCAGAGCTGCGCGCGCAGACCAGCAACCGTACTCGCAACCACCTAGGCCAATCTCTCGCAGGTCTAGCAGCGGGGTGACAGCGCCGGTGGTTGTCATTCCGATTAGTTAAGGAGGTAAGCGATCAAAATGTCACGCAACGTAACGCAGTTAATCGCCACTGTTGCCATGTTTTTACCGTCGCAATGTTTGCAGCGCTTTGCGCGAGGTTCACCCGTGCTAACGGGCATGGTTCGGTAATCCCGACGGGCGGCTATGCGTGCCTGCTGCCTGTCTCCAGATGCTGCTGTTGCTGCTGCATCTTGAGTTCGCGTCACATGTCTGGGCCGCGAAACAGACGCCTGGCGTCGAGGCGCTACCGGCGAGCTACTAACGGACGTCCGTCACGACGGCCGAACGATACGCTCGCCGTCCCGGCGGCAGCGCCCGACGCTCGCCAAACCAACAAGAGTTATACGAATGACGCATGTGTAAGCGAGACATGCGCGCGCAATTTAGTACTTAAGTATAATTTGTGTTTCGCATAATGCCAAATCCAGTTTTTGAAAATTAATGGTCTTTTCGTTGAGAGGACACCTTTATCTGACTTTATTTATTGAGCCAAACTTTACTGCCGCTAATTAGTTCCAATTGTTTTGAGACCAACATTGGGGACAAAACAGAAAGCAACAAACAAATAATAAAGAAGTAAATTACTAATGGGTTCCGTAAAGTTATATCAAAAATAGCACTAGTTTATGTAATAACACTTACCAAACAAACATACTAAAAACTGGGATGCGTTTATAAACGGATAAACGTAACTAAAGCCAACGGTAGAAAATTTGCAACTGGGTAATTGTAAGTTTCCATAACGTTGGACAAACTCATTTTCATTTAAGGATATCGACTTTTCAAACTGAATCCACAGCAAAAATATCTACGCAATCGACACGTGAGTACACTTCATCATCATCATCACAAGGTTTTAAGCCCGAAGACTGGTAGGACCACTACTTCTTTCTATATTGAATCTACATTTACGCTTCACGAAAACTCGAATAGCCTAGATCTTTAACTACTTGCGAACATTAATCCAGTCTAGATCTACTTCCACCCTTCTTAACTCCTGCCTCTGCTACTCATTACAAAGTTTTCAGCCCGGTTGAGCACACACACCCACTTCTTCCTCTCTTAAGCCAATCTTCATACTTTGCGAAAGCCCGAGCAACCTACACCTTACTCATATTTCTACTTCTAATCACGAAGTTTTCAACCCAAAGACTGATTGAACACGCACCTCCACTTCTTCATATCTTGAGTCAATCTTCATACTTTGCGAAAGCCCGAGCAACCTACACCTTACTCATATTTCTACTTCTAATCACAAAGTTTTCAACCCAAAGACTGGTTGGACACGCACCTCCACTTCTTCCTATCTTGAGTCAATCTTCACACTTTACGAAAGCTCGAGCAGCCTAGACCTTTAACTGTTTTCTAATAGTCATCTAGCCTAGATCTACCTCAACCCTTCTTAACCGCTGTTTCTGCATGTATCACAACGTTTTCAACCCAAAGACTTATTGGACAGGTTCCTTCACTTCTTCCTATGTTGAGTCAATCTTCACACTTTGCGAAAGCTCGAACAGGTTAGATCGTTAACTGTTTGCGAACAGTAATCTAGTCTGAAACTACCTCAACTCTTCTTAACTCCTGTTGCTGCATCTATCACTAGATTTTCAACCGAAAGACTGATTGAACACGCTCCTTCACTTCTTCATATTTTGAGTTAATCTTCACACTTTGCGAAAGCTCGAGCAACCTAAACCCTTAACTATTTACGAACAGTAATCTAGTCTAGATCTTCCTCCACCCTTCTTAAGTTCTGCTTCTGCTACTCATTACAAAGTTTAACTATTTGCAAAAGGTAATCTAGTCTAGATCTTCCTCGACCTTCTTAACTCTTATTTCTGCTTCTAATCACAAGGTTTTCAGACCAAGCACTGGCTGGACACGCACCTTCACTTCTTCCTATCTTGAGTCAATTTTCACACTGCTCAAGCTCGAGCAGCCTAGATCATTACCTGTTTGATAACAGTAATCTAGTCTAAATCTTCCTCCATCATCTTTACTCTTATTTCTGCTTCTAATCACAAGGTTTTCAGCAAAAGGACTGGCTGGACACGCACCTCAACTAATCTTGAGTCAATCTTCACACTTTGCAAAAGCTCAAGAAACCTATATATTTAACTGTTTGCGAAGAGTAGTCTAGTCTAGATCTGCCTCCACCCTTCTTAACTCCAATTTTCACCTCTAATTATAAGGTTTTCAGTCCAAAGACAGGTTGGACACGCATCTACAAAACGATTTCTGTTCTCCTACCCTTTCTAGTACCTCCTCGTTTCTAACCTTTTCTATCGACGGTATCTTTAACAACCCAGTGCTTCTAGCCTTTTCTTTTCCGCAGCGTCAATCATCCACGTTTAACTCCCACACAGAGATTTACTCCAAACATGCACCTTTAATAATCGCTTTCGAATTTCCAAATTAACCGATCGAGAGCACAAAAGATATTTCTTTTCGTAAAGGGCGGCCCAACCCATCGCTGCTCTTTGTTTGTACAACCAAGAGAACATAAAGCATTCGGGAGGTCACCGGTTCGATTCCAGGTCAGTCTGCCCTAATACAAGTTTTTCTGTGGTTTCCTTGGATCAATTAGGCAAATGCTGAAGCGGTATTATTTCACAGATAATCTTTCACTCTCTTCTGTCTTCATTCCATCAGTCTCATATTTCTCACCCCATCCACCACGCTCCCATTCCCACGATTCCTAAAAAGACTCTGCAGAGGACCTTCTTGCCTACCCTCTGACGTAGTTTGGAGAGACTGCCCGACCACCAACATTAGTAGCTGGTGGGAATGAAACACCCAAAAACTTTTTTTAAGATTTTTGTTGAAAGTGGATTTAGGTTTCCAACCCGTTTGCTCTAGTTAGCTCGTCATAGACCTTGCCATTAAACAGCGGCTACCAGCTGATCAGTAAATCCATGGGTTTAGTTTGACAAGTTAATATCTTTTATTGGGAAGGGCATTGTGAAACTTTATTGAAACCCACAATAAGTAAGAAAATTCCTACAGGTGACATTCTGAGAGTTCCTACAGATCACTTGACCACAAACTTAAGGTGAAAACAATATGCTTGATGCAATGATTAGCAAATACCGTATCGAATCCATGGAGTCATCTTAATTTTTGAAGAATTAACCGATGTTACTTAACACAATTCAAGAAAACAATGAAAATAAAATGTTCATGATGATAATTATACAACTGAATGTTCTAATTTTAGCTTTTAACTAATTGTGTGCTTAACGGGATCGGTCATTAGGTATCTACCTACTTCATGAAGGCACCTCGTATAACTGAGGGTACCGGCAGTAGTTCTTGAGTGTGCTTCATGAGTATGTTTTATAAAATTACGAGAAAATATTACATTTAAGCGAATTTATTAAGTATCAACCAGATATACCTATAATAAAATGTAGGTATATATATACGTAAAATAGCTATGCAATTACGTAAAACAATAACCATTAAAAAAACATAATATTTTATCTAATAATAAATATTCAATCGGTATACCTAAGACCTAAGGTATTTATACATATCAACCGCAAATAAAGTGTTTTAAATAAACTAATGGATGAAAACAATAGATTTTGTTGAACCAATATAACGCCGGCTGCATCACGAACAGTAAATTAGAGAACGGTAATTTTAACTATCTGCAGCGACTCCACTGGTTAACACGATATTGAAATCGTTTACATTTAACATAATTATTGTAACAAAAAGAATTGTATCGTTTCTTAAAATATACTATGATGTCACTTATTATGATTTAAACATAAACAACGAAACTAAAACAAATTCATGGATACACCTGGATTGAAAATGCTAGTCTGTGACACAAAATGCAGACAGTGCCAACTCAAAATAGAATCAAGAGCAGCAACGGCTCGGAAAATTTTCGGTACTTTCAAAATAATTTTTTTTTTAAAGCAAATTCTCACAGAAATACCTTCCACAACATTATCATGTGTATTAACAGCTGAGTGGGCGGGGGATACATAAATACGTAGGTTAGTGGTGTATCATGATACAAAAACTTACCTCACTCATAATAAAGTCAGCATCAACGCAAAACTGTTCTTGTAAAAACATAACACACAATTAATTGTCAAACCATTACCGACTGTTCATAAAAACACTCATTATTCAAACGAACGACAGCAATCAGTACTCGCCATTTTGTTGCCACACGTATTTTAGTTACATATAGATGGTTACATCACAGTACCAACACAACTGTGAAATTACCTATATATTTCGAAATTTTTGGTGGGCAAACTTTTTAAAAACTGATTTTGTACAACTTTAGTTATTTATGTAATTTCTCTGCTTCAAATAAAATAACATACAATAGGTACAACACAAAGTAAAGTCATTTCTATTTATTTACTGTTTAGGCTACAGTGAAGTACATTTGTACAGAATTTTTACAATTTTCAAATTAACACATGATTACAACGTGAAAATATAATCCCATTTACTGTATTAGTTGTTAATTGTTAACGAGTAAAGAATTTGTTTACAATCGACTGTTCAATTGGAATTAAGAGCAAATAACATCGAAAATACAAACATATCACAGAAGTCTTTCATTGATTCTTGTAAATAGCGATTCCGCAACATTTTCTAAATTAATTTAGAAAATTATTTACGTCAAAGACTACTGCCAGTTATGGCCAATTTACCCCAAGCTAAGCTAATATTAACATATGCATAAAATCAAATTTTCCTCACTTAGTCACTAGACCTGTAAACCCTTTTATTTTCTGAATTAAAATAAGATATTTTTTTTAATTGAAAATTTTGCAGTTTACTGGAAAAAAAATTTATATGAACAGCTAATATTGGGCACAATCTACAGGGATAACTTACACCAAGAGTTTACCTGACAATAGCCTTTTGTCTTAGTTAAACTACAAATTGAAATAATTTTTACTTACACCAGGCAATTGTAATAAGGCAAACAAAAAAAATAAATAGGAAAACAATCAAAAAGGAGGTAAACATTACAATTAAGTGTAGAATATAAATAAATGTCGAAGTTAGAATGCAGAGTAGAAACAATTTTCATTTCTTCCCTTTTTCTAAAATGTGCAGAATCAAAGCAAACTGAAGGGTTTGAGTTTACCTTTAATTTTACCTTACACCTAAAGGTGAAATATCAGTGTCTGTTTTTTTTTTTAAATAAACACTTTCTGTCCCTGTAGTGGTTTTCATTCTACACATTGTATATTATTTAAATAATTATTAATTTCAAGTCATACCGTAGAAAGGCCACTTTGTTTATTTACTTCTACTTGATCTTTTGGTTAACATGTATAATTGGGCAGGACTTTAGCATTTGGGGCAGCGACCCCTCATTAGAGAGCGCATGAGTAAAGTACTATAATAGGCTTAGCTCCACAAACATGTCTAGGCTACCTTGAGTTGGGAAATTCAACCGTAAGTACGATTTTTGTGATCCTGTACCCATGAGCTTTCTATGAATGCATCCCCCTAGCGAGTCGTGCCCCAAATTGTAAAGTGCAGCCAGTAATTGAGGGTAAAGATGACGCCTAATTTATCAACTGTTTTTGTCCAAATTAGACGTCATTTTTCGCCCCCCTATTTTACTCACAGATTTAAGAGTTTCCTAATAAAGACTGTACATATTAACATATCTAACAACCACGACACCAGTAAAATATATAAGAAAATACAATCCTATTCTGAAAAACTAAATAGTAAATACCAATCGTTTCTTTTAATTTCTCTTTTTTTAACCCAATATTTCCCTAACTTTTGAAACTATGAAATCAACAAACATTTAATGAAGAAGCTAGTTGTCTATAAACCTCGAATTTACTTAAATAATTGCTATCATATACTTTTAACTAAACGAATAAATACAACTCTATAAACAGCTACAAGAACCTGCCTTCTGAAATGCTGTTTTACTGTAAATTAGTTAACTGCATTATTAATTAAGTCTTGCATTGATATTTTTCTAGCCAATCAATTAATTAAATTGGCGACAGTATAAATAATTACGAAAATAAATAGAAATATTGACTAAATGTTCATTCTATAACGTTTTTGCTAAGTCTTTGACTCTGGAAAATAATGAACTTTTAATTCCTCTATTGCTTTGCACCATTCCAAAGCATAACCATCTGGATCTTCAAGGTAGTATGTACGATTAGGCTGAAAAAATAGTAAATTAAAATTAATATACCACGATACATTATTAATACTCCTTTATTCAAATTTGAATTTAAAATAACTTACCGTATGTACTAAGAATGTTTTGAAATTTTTGGCTTCTGTCTTAATATCAGGACTCCAGGGTATCTCTCCTTTCAGGATCATTGTAGTGGGATCTACATAGTACAAATGTGGTCCTAATGTAAGCAGAAACATCCTCCTCCTTGGGAACAGACCTTTTCGCTTATCAACCAAACCCTGTTTCAAAATAAGGTTTCCTTCAACTAAGTTATGCCATCTGTCTGTTTTCTGAGTTTCCAGTCTCCTCCTGATTTCTTCTTCAGACAAATCTGCAATATTTTTTGTCTGTGACTTTTTCCTGGTAGGAGTCGCCATTGGTGAGCCAAATATCTCTGCATGTAACATGGACTCTTTCTTCTCATCTAATCCAGGTTGCAAATTTTCAGGAATTGCTGCCTGACTTTGTCCAAGTGCACTTGCTTCAGAAGGTAAAATCTTTGGGGCAGGACCCAAATTATTCCAATTTGTATCACGAAAAAAGGGATGTTGTCGTATACTTGTATATATTTTTGACTCATTAGCACCTAGTCTTTTCTCTGGTGTTAAAATCAAAAGATTTTTTATTAAATCCTGTATTGTGGTATCAATGTCTGTAGGGAATTCATATTCTAATTTGAGAATTTTCTGGAATATTAAATACTCACTGCCAGCTCTAAAAGGTGGCAGACCCACTACCATTTGATAAAGAATGCAACCAAAAGCCCAGAGATCAGATGCAAAACTTACTTTACCGTCAGTGAGAATTTCAGGGCTTACATATTGTGCTGTTCCGACAAAGCTGTTTCTTCTTTTTTGAGAGCCTTCTTCATCACTTTCATTCTTTTCTCCTTCTACAGGAATAAGAATTTTTGCACTACCAAAATCTGTTATTAAAATGTGCCAATTCTCATCCAGCAAAATATTTTCTGGCTTAAGATCTCTATGCACTATACCTTTTGTGTTAAGTGTCTCTAAGGCTAAAACTATCTCAGCTGCATAGTGCCTTACACAGTCTAACATTAATGAACTAGTTTTATTGAGAAAAGTAAGAAAGTCACCATTTTTGGCATATGTTAACACAAAGTATAATCGTTCACCGTCCTGAAATGTGCAGTACAATCTAACAAAGTAGGTGCTATTTCCCAATATTTGTAGGACTTTCTTCTCTCTCATAACATACTCCATTTTATTTTCTTTAATAATATGACGTTTTTCTAGTACTTTAACTGAAAAAAGCCAATGAGTATTAAAAATAAAGAAAAATACACAATCTTACTTGCAAATTCCTTATTTGTGTGAATATCCTTAGCTAAGTAAACAGTGCTGAAACTGCCTTCTCCGATAACTTTTCCAAACACATAATCGTCTTGAGACCTCTTTTTCACAGTCTCTTCAGCAGGTGGTGGTGTCATCTTCCTTATTTTTTTTTCTGCAACTATATGGTACACAAACGTTATTTTTCACTGCATTTTAACTTTCTAACACTGACAAGACTCAATTTATCTAATTCAATGTAGAAATCAATGATTTACAGAATATCTTCGTATAAGATGAATTAACTAAGGTCTTAACGAAATTGGTGTCAAAGAGTTATGAAGTGCAATATCCATTTTAGCACTTACAATTATTTGAGTAAGTAAATGGAAATGGAAAACGTCATCTACAGTTTACGTCATTTACCAGTAAAAACGTCATTCAATTCGTTTGAATTCGTTCAAATAACACTTCCTTTGGTAACGATAACGAATGATAGTGACGTGCAATATGGTAAAGTTTAATGAACTTCAACGTAACGTATTTTTTCCACGAAACAATTTATATTTATCAACCTCAACTTAACGATTCATTTACTGTACGACCTCACAATTCAATTATAATCTTGATTAGTTGATTACTACTCTACACTTCGACAGTTTCACTCTTTTTTTAAAAGAATGCGATCAAATCACATTCAAATAGAGAAATGTATCATGTTATAGAAACCTTCGTAACCGATTGAGTGGGAATTCCATTGATTTAAAATGTAAAGGTGGGGGAAAAACCAGGGCGCCTGTTCAAAACGTCTGGCAATGTCTAGCGCACCTGGCGTCTGGGTCTGGGGTATCAGTGCATACATATTTGTATGTCAGTAGGTTGTAATGTAGTAGCAAACTAGGTGCTGAATAGCAGTACTTAATAATTTATTGAGCTTATTTAGGGTAGAATTTACTATTAAAAATCATACGGATAAGCAAGATAATCTAATGATAACATTATCAGTGTCGGTACACTTTGTATATCATTGTACTTAATACTTATTTTAATTCGACGATTTTATTTAAATCGTGCGAAATCTTTTGCCTTTAATATTAAATTTATATTATATAAAAGAATATTTCAATTTTCTAAATTTTTGAAATAAGAGAAGATGAAGTGGCGAATTTTCCATTATTTCCATCAATTTTGCCAGAAGTTTATGTAAACGATGCATAATTTTTTTGAAAAGGAGCACAATGAATTGGAGCTCCTGTGCAAATTGGTTTTGTGTTTTGAACAATTCTAAAGGAAAAGGTGCAAGTTCTCCTTCAGATCAAGCAACCTCCGTAATCACTTCCGGTCCTGGAGCAAGTCCTGCAAGTTCGACCTCTTGCGATGATCAAGTACCACCATCAAAAAATTGTTATAGACTGATAGTTCTAGGTAAAAATAAATGTGTGTTTTAATGTAATTTTTTAAATTAGAAAGTGTTTTGTACTATTTTATTTTTGTTATATTAATTTAGTATTGATGTGTAGATGTAGATATGTGTTGGTGAACATTCGCAAAACAAACCAATTCTAATCAGTAGAATTTATTTGTTGCATATTATACTTAAAAGGTTTTATTACAGTTCATCAACATAGCTATTGGTTGCGCTTATTTTATTGTCAATGTATTCTTTTTCTTTTAATAAATGCCTCATTTTTGTTGTTGCTTTTAAATGTATATAATTTATACAATTTTTATCCCTTTACACCAAAAATTGGAAAGAAGAGAAGCAAAACTTGAAAAAATTCAAGTATTTGGGAATACATATGATTTTTCAACCATTATGGAGTATTACTTTTCTAACTGCTTTTTATTTGTTGTTTTTGTTTAAGTAGACTTTTATCTACTATTATTTCAAATATACCTTTACTTAGAAGTTAATAAGGATGATGCACACCTAAAATGAATAATCACTAATCTTTAGATAAAAGAATGCTGATTCCTTTGCAAAACTAGTATTTAAATAAACTTACTGAAATTGGATACAGTTATTTCTTATTTCTTTAGTATATATTTAAATAATTTTAAATTCAATGCAAGTTTAGGTTGTACTTATAAGAATCAACTTATTGCTTGAAGAAAATGTTACATGTCTTTTTCAAGGATCCGCCAGGGTAGGAAAAACTTGTTTGGTTCAGAGGTTTCTTGGTGGAAAATTTGATGATAACTACACGCCTACTATAGAAGATTTTCATAGAAAGCTTTACCGTATACGCGGAGAAATTTACCAATTGGATATTTTGGATACATCGGGGAATCACCCATTTCCTGCAATGAGAAGATTATCTTTTCTTACAGGTATAGTCTGTTCTTAGTTCGTTCTAGAGATTCGGTTCCATTTTCTTTTAAAGATTTCATCAGCATTATTGTTCTTTTTTTGCCCATTTTCATAGAAGGATTAGGAAGATTCTCTAGATTTGATGTTTGGAATATGGCCTTAAAATGGTCCCCCTTAAGTTTCATCGAATTCAGTTGAATAATTTCACAGGAATTAAAGAAAAGTCATGGGTTTTACTCAATTTCTTACAGAAATCATCGAAATGGTAAAAATTTACTAATTGTTAAGTGTTTGACTGTCCAATTTTGGATAGGATGCGTAAGTGTCTGTATAAAACAGAAAAGATGAACTTATAAGTTATTATGTCTCAATTTTTTCAAAACAGTTATCGATATTGTGGCTGTATAATCGTTAATACCTAAATATCCCTCGTCCACGAATGACAATAATGTAATTGAATGGTTATGTTTATGTCAATGCACTTAAATATTTAAATGTGTCCAATCAAAATTCCAATATTCTGTTCAGCTCAGAATGAGCTATCAAGTTAATGCACTGATGGTTATGTTCGATAATGGAGTATTAACGGACAATATGCAATTAGCGTCAAACACAGCATTATATGTATATCTACCTACATATTTCGATTTCCAATTTACTATGTTTGTATAATATTCAAAACACCTCAATCAATCTTCTGCTTTTTAAGATTATTTTCTTTTGTCGTATTTACTTGTGAATAATAATTTATTATAATTACCGCAAATACGTAGAAATGATTTAAATTTCAGGTGATATTTTTATAATAGTCTTCAGTATGGACAGTCGTGACACATTTGAGGAAGCAATAAGATTAAGGGAGCAAATTTTGGAAACAAAATTAAGTGCAGCAGCAGCGTCGAGCACAGGCGGCATAGCAAGACGGAAAATTTTACCCCGAGTACCTATGGTGATCGCAGGAAACAAATGTGATAAAGAAATGAGGTGATTTTATGATGTGCTCCCTTTTTCGGGGTTTTTCGAATACTTTAAACTCATTTTGATCTTTGACGTTATTATTATATGAATCTGTACGACACCTCATTTGCTAAAACCTCATGCACTTATTGTTTCTTTATTTCATTCAAACATCATAATCATCATCATCATAAGGTCTTCACCTTGAAATCCAATCCTAAGACTGGCACTTCCACTTTTTCCTATCCTGAGCTAACTTCGCATTTCCCCAAAACTAAAACATTCCACATCTTTAACTATTTGTTTTTTAATTCAAAAATGGAATTGCTTATTGTTTAAATAAGTTCAGTTCTGATTCACGGATTTTTAATGACGCTGTTTAAATTTCAAAAGATTCAAAGTTCAATTTCCAAAACTTCCTTCTTAGTGACTATTAAATCATAAAATAAATCCGCTGACCAAATGTTTCTGGCTTCAGCAGTTTGAAGATAGTTACGAGTTACAGTACTACATTTAGGGGAATTCAATATGTTCAACTAAGTCCATTTACGTTGATCCTTGCTGAACTGAATTCTGAATATATGACAGGCACCACGTAACCAAATCGAACATAAAAGTTCATGCTGGTCATGTTTTGTTGAAACTGCCAGACGCGGATCGCGATTTCGATCTTGTTGGATCTCATCAGCGCATCGCAAACAGTTTTCACAGAATTGCGACCACCATGAACTTCCTTGTTCGACTTCATTACATGCCTACCACGTATGGTAAGCTACGCCATGGATTCAGTTGAGCAAATAGAAATCCAGCAACCTAAATAGACCTTGTTGAACATATTCAGTTGCAGCAAAGGTAGCATAGTACTACAGTAGGCTTTCACCACGTCGTTTGTATCGGGCACTTAAAGTATTTAATGGAATTAACCATTGGGTTAGTTTTTGGTTCACTTCCGAGATGGACCACCTATTCCGACGGTTCTCCCCTTTCAATTCCCCCACGCTTAACCATTTTTCTTTCTCCACCCTCTCCTTCCATTCTCTTCCCGGGGATGAGTAACCCTCAGGGTTTATCTCCCCACTGGAGGAGGGGTTTTAGTAATTAAAAATTTGACACTACCTCCCTCCAGGGGGTGTCTTTTGAAGATTTCCCCTACTCGAGAATAATCTAAATTAAAAAAAAAAGCCGGATATGATCGGGGGGGTTTGTTCATGCTAATATGAGCGCTATTTTAAGTTTAGACGTGTTTTCTCTGGTATTACGTGGTGTCCGGCGCTAGAGGGATTCCCCCTACTTCAATTTCTCACATGTCTGCCATGATACTTTAGCGTTTTCCTGTTTTAGAACTGTTACGCCCGAAGAAGCTAAGAATTACTGTTCGAGCCAAGAATGTTGCACATTTGTGGAGGTTTCGGCGAAAAGGAGCTACAAAGTGGACGAAGTGTTTTATCAGTTATTCCTCAATGCCAATTTGCCGTTAGAAATGGCGCCGAATCACCATAAACGCGTAAGTGCTAACTTTGGTTCTCCGTGTCCGTTACCGCCATCAGCCCTCCCTTCACATGCAAAAAAGTATACTTTGTCTGTTAAACGCAGGTTAAGCGATGCATGCGGAGTAGTAACGCCAAATGTCAGACGTCCGAGCATAAGAACTGACCTAATGATAATGCGAACTAAAACTTGCTGCACCACAGATAATAACAGCAATCCTAATAGTCCAGGCCTAAGACTTAGAAGTGTGAAAAACAATTGTACGTTGCAATAACCCTAACGATAATACAAAAATGTTATACTTCATTTACTTTCTCTAGCAATGTGCCCCTTCCAATGTCTTGGATGCGCGCTGGCAAAATCGTAGGTAGGGAGAAAAAGCTCATTATACTCTCGACTCTTGTTCATTAAACATACTTTTTCATACAGTACTTGCCAAAAGTTTTGTTCAATAATGAATAGTAGTGCGAGTCGAAAACAAGCGTTAAAGCCTTTAATATGTCTTCAAATATAAATAAACATCTCGTT